AAGGTTAAAAGAACATCGTATAGATAATAATTCTGATTAAAGAATCAAGAAGAAAGAGAAGATATTAAAAGATCTGGAAGAATTGAAAGAAATAACCCTAAACAATCTAACAATTAAAAGATGCAGTGCAAAATTTTGCAAATAATAAAAATAAGGGCAAAAGGGTAAAAAGAACTTTGAATAGTGAACTACCTGGACTTAAGCTTGGACTTAAGCCTGGATGTGTAGCATCATTCCCTCTTATAATATATCACCGCATGGAAATTCAGAGCCGGACGCAAACATTTTGAGTTAAGGACATAATCAAATCTTTTACAAATTGAATACTTTGTTCTTGATTTTTGAATGGTTCATACTTGACTCGAGATAATGCAGATTTAAATTTAAAAAATATTTCTTCATTAATATTTTACTAATAATTTTCATTCATTTGATTTCGAAGAGTCATTTTATTAATGTTTTATTCATCACAAGAAAATGCATATTTACGTTTAAAAACCTTATAATATATTTGATATAAACAATTAATTCAAGTAATCGAAAGTAAAAACATGTAACTAATATTCAATACTAATAATTAATCAAACAAACACAAATTAAATTCTAACTACTTGAAAATTTGAATGGAAAGTGAAGATTTGTAGTAAATGTAATAATTGTAGAAAAATTATATACAAATTTTAAAAAATTAGAAACGTTAAGATTTTGTTAAAATGCGTGAGGAAAATAGTAAGCTAGAGCAAGAGAAAAATTTAAATTTATTGTGATTTTGTCCCTATTTGGTGGAGATTAAAATTAATTTTTTAGTAAATTTTAATAAAAGTTAAACAGTTATAAATTCTATAAAATATGTTATTAAAATTAATTGTTAACTTTGATTTAAATTAAAATAGTGAAAGGAGTAACAACCACAAGTTTAGAGATCCCTGCCCACATGAGCCCGATTAAGTAGAATAATCTTCCCTCCACCTATTACATGGATGAGTTGAAAATCTAACACAACAGACAAAATCAAAATTACTTGAACATACTGCTGTCTTTCACAATTATTACGTTTTTTTGCTCCCGCTATGAGATGTGCAGTGAAAAGTTGCACCATAGAATTGGAATTTTCATTAAAATGAATCAAACACGACAAACAAAATCAAGATTAATTGAAAATAATGCTGTCTTTTAACAATTATTATGCTCATCGATTCCCAACATTTAACTACAATTCAGGGACGGTCCAATGTGATGTCGCTACGTGACATAATGTCAAACTTAATGTCAAAATTAGTGTACTTATAGCATGGTTGATTCCGTTTAGTTTAGATAATTACTACTACCCATCACGCGTGTGTGGGTGTGGGTGGGTATATATTTTCCAAGGGCTCAAATTTCACACAACATACGGGCAGGTACCCACATTTTTAAAATGATTACAGGGATCTTCGAAGTTCATTTAAGGGAGAAAAAAAAAAGGAAAAAAATTGGAAATTGACAAAAAAAAAAAAAAAAAATTTACTGATTTTTCAGCTCTTGTTAATTAGTCAATACATACAAATATTTTTATTCATAACTTATTCATCATCAGATCAAATTTAACTAAACATTCGTAGCTTTATTAATTAAAACCTAAAACCAAAAAAAAAGGTTTGAAATTTTTCTACTCTACACATAAATAAAAGAGGCATTTTGCCTCTACTATTCACAAGCCGTGAGCAAACTTTATGGCATAGCTCGGCTAATTTTTTTTTTTTCCCCCCTTCCTTTGATTAATTTTGTTTACAGCCAGCCAAATGGCTTTATGGCTCGGCTCGGCTCGGCTCGGCTAACTTTTTTTTTTTTTATTTTTTTATTTTTTTATTTTTTACGTTTGTTTCAG